TTTTTGGTATAAAAAACTTAAAAAGCAACAACAAAAAATTTTCTTGCTATTCTGCAGTATCTCCACACAGAAGATTTAAAAAAGTTTGATAAAAGAAGCACAAAACCAGCCTCTTTTGACTGTGAATAAGAGTAAATTTATAATGAAAGTAATTTCAAATTTTATGAATATGAATAGCTCAATTTGTTTTTGGAAATATGATTTAAAAAAAATGCAGAATTTTATTTTTCTGATATATGTGTTTAAGTGTCCCTTTCTTGAGACATTGTCCAGATGTTGGGGGAGATTTTTTTGAGGTTGAGTGTGCCTAAGTTGAATTGTTCATATGTCAGTGTTCACATGTTGAGGTCTCACTGTAATATCCCCATTGTGTAAGACACACACTTGTACTTTTGTCTTGACTTTTCAAGGATTAAAAACTCTTCTATATAAATGTGTGTGCTGTGCATTTTCAGTGGTAAAAATTGACAATTCTCAGATAACCACAAAACTTGAATGTGTCAATTTAGGCTCAAATAAACTTCCCTTGTTTTTATTTGCTTTTCATTCATTCATTCTATTATTGGGGACGTTGTTTGAGAAAATACTATCAAAAATATAGTTAGAGGTTGTTTAGAAATGCAGGATTTGCTGGAATTGGCATAAGGCCAATAATTCTAAAGGAATTTTGTGAGACCAGAGATGACCTTGAGTTCCCATGATCTTCCTCCCAAATCTAAAAATGTCCTTCAAATTTGTCACGCTAAAAGACCTTGTTCTCCAAGGATATCCTTTATGGAAACAAATCTTCTGTTTTGTATAAAAACAGTATAAAAGGATGAAGAATTATATATACCACACAGTCCAGTTCAGACCTCGCAACAGTCCAACAAATCATTGCATTATTTCTTGCGAGACTCAGCCAAAATATTGTTGGTATTCATATCTGTTGAGCTCAACTCTTCTTGTGTTGTTTGACAAATATAACATTTCATACTAGGACTTTGGTCCCGGCCGCAGCCCTGCTGATTATATTGTTTTATTTATCCTTAAGTTTTCTCGTCTTTTTTGCAAGACTTGTCTTCAGTTGACTTTGGTGTTTTTTGCCTCTTTTGCCACTTTTTAATTGGAAGGAAAAGTTTCCTTTCTTGTCTGAAATCTCTTTCTGACAAATACTTCTGGAAAATTGATGTTAAGTATACCAAACATTTTTAAGGAAGCTTTGTTTTCTTCCTGATTCATGGTTGGCCAGCAGAATGTCAACAGTTTGAGAAAGTCATGCTAACATTTTTTTGCCTGCACAGGGCGGCTCAACAATGAGCATGATAAAAGCATATATTCTGTTTGAACTCAGACCGACAGCTACATTCATGTCCCTGTGAAAAACATAATACTCGGTGCATGGCAGTGCTTCGTTCCGGTTTTTTGCTTTTTTTTTTTTTTTTCGCTGCTGGCTGAATTTTATTTTTTGTATATATGCCAGGACAGTGCCGCGGGAAATGAATGGAATGGCCCGCGGTGTTCAGTGCTTTTCCTATATGAAGATTGACTGAGAATCTGCGAACCAATTTCCTTCTTCAGTGATTTCAACGGAATAAAACTCATTCGGGATTGGACGAAGTGAAAATGACTATATATAGATACCGTAACGGAGTGGAACTATATGTTTTTTTGCGTGCTGAATAGAATCGCGATTAATCAATATCAAACTGCAGAAAATGTTCGTTGATGATGAAAGACGAAATGTTTCCTGATTTTCCGCGTGGCAGCATTTGGAATAATTCAGCATTGAAATTCATTTAAAAATTAATCTTCTGCGTCTCTCGCTTCTGTGTACTGGACAGTACTTTAAATTTTTTTTCAGATTTGCTGTCGGTTCTGAAAAAGATTCTGTTTAAAATCCATGAAGATTTACTGATTAAGGATAGCTACCAAGTCCTGTGGTATGCAGTACCAAATATAGCGTGTTTATCTGGGAATCATTCTAAGGAATTTATTCCTGGATCTTGGATAACATATGAATAATGATTTGCAGGGGATATAATTGAAAACCCAATTAATGTGTTCATAAAAAGATGCAAAAAACCAAAAACTTTAATACAGTAAATGGGAAATCTCTCTCCACAACAATCTTGTCTACAATGATTTTGCCTGTACAGTTATGTACAGTTGAACCTCTGTAAGTCAAACCTCCCTAAGTCAAATACCTCCATTATAGCTCAATTTTTTTTCAGGAGGCCCCATCTGAATTCCTTTGGAAACAATGCATTAAAAACCTCTTTGACTTGATGTCTTTTTCTCCCAAACCTCTGTAAGTTGAATTTTCTGAGGCCTTTTGGTTACTATTTCCTTGAAACATGAAAGAGATAATGAATAAAAAAAATGATTTTGTCCATCTTGAAAGGAAGTGAAAGACTAATTTAAAAAAATAAACCCGTGCATCCAAGTTCAGCAAACTGCAAATTCATCAAGAGGCAAGTTTAGGCCACAAATCTCCTCATATACAATTTCCTGCAATTTTTTACTAATCCTCACAGCAAGAATTTTTGTTTCTTTAATTCAAAACCTGCAAAAATGAAAACTTTCCCAAGTCAAATTGTTTCCTAGTCCCTAAAAATGCAACTTAGGAAGGTTCAACTGAGCCTCATTTTTCTTTGGTCACTATATGTTATGCAGGTTTTCTACAACAAAATGCAGTCTGTACAGCACAGTAATTTCTGGTCCTTTTAATTTTGTTGCAGAAGAGAGTCCACCCAAATAACTGAAAATTTTTCATATCCAAATGGCTTTTATGCATTGGATATTAAGGTTTTACTGTACATCTTTCCTGAGGTTTAAAGTTGCCTTTTCTTAGGTATGGGGAAAGGGACATGTGTAACACAGCTTCCATAAGATTAACTAAAATATGACTCACTTCTGAATCTTCTTATTTAATCTCTTCTCAGTTTGCGTATGAACTCATATTTTTGATGAGGTTGAAAAAAAATCAGGTGACAATAAGGGCCTTAAATTTGTAAAGGCATTTTAAACAAAGAATAATTGGAATGCAAAAAAAAAATTGTAACTCCTGATGACTTTATTTCAGCAAAATTTTTTCTGCTCCTACTGTAAAATCTTGTAAAAAATGGCCATAACAAGGTCTCTTTAAAAAAATTATATTTGCTGACCCAGCCCAATAACCAATTTTTTTTAAATCACAGAATGAATATTATTTTCAAAATCAAAATTTTTCCAGGTTGCAATTGCTTTGTTGTGAGGAGATTTTAGTGTCTACTATGCATACAAATCGTAATGCGTTTCAAAATTGCTCGTTTGAGTTTGGGGAAGGACAGAGAACATAATATCTTCATTATTTTATCACAAATATTTTTCCTGTAGTTCGCATGACTTGATCTTTTTTTGTTGTTGGTGATTCTGGACACCTGCCTGAAATTTCCGAAGACATTATTGGGCAATGAATTGAAGAAGAAAGAATGTCCTGAATGGCTTTATTATTCCCATCAGCAAGGATAAGGATCTTAGAACAAACGCCTTACAAATAATGCTTCACTTCGGGCTTTCGGAGCCACTGGTTTCCATTCCAAGCTCGCTTCTCCCCCTTCAAACGCACAAAAGTAATGTTCACGGTAGTGCACCCATGTTACTCATCCGTTCCTTTCCTTTCTTCCATCCTTCCTTTCCTTTAAAAATTTTTTCTTCTCCGAAGTTCCATGCTTACTTCTTCCGAATCACGCTTCTGCCGTCCGATCAGCTATAAAGGGATGACCATGTAGAGAGAAAAGTAAGCATCCCTTCATGAAAAAATTTCGAAAATGATTCGAACAAAATTATCTTCTGACCGCCCCCCCCCCCCCTCCCCCGATCTGTGCAGGAACAGGGTGAGGAAACAAGTGTGATGTTATAATATGTTCGGCCTTTGAACGGTTTCAGAAGGACGTGTGTTCATTGTTCCGCCCCTTTTTCCTCAATGTCTGCACCGAATTCTCAGTGTTTTGTGGATCTTCCGAAAATAATATCCCATGTACCGAACATGTGCATGAATCTTGAAAAATTGAAGGCCCTGGTGAAAATGTGAAAATGTAAAAAATATACAATAAACTGTGGCTGCAACAAAGACATTGAGACCAGGAAAGAGGCTCAGTCATAACGTACTATGCGTTGTAGATAATTTAGTATAATTTTTTAGAATTTGGACGTGGACCTGAAAAATAAATTTGTCGCAAGTTATAATTTGTTGCAGTCAGAGTTGATGTAGTGAGGTTCTGATGAATATTGGAAACAAGTTGGTGGACTCAAATTATTATACCTGACAAGGGATAGTAAGGTACGATATATAATTTCTCATCAAAGCAACGTCTGTCATTTTCTTAACCATAATGCAAAATCTAACGTAGGACTGCAAGAATACCATGTGTGTGTTTGGAATGAAAAAAAGTGAAATGGAGCTTTTGATTTCAACATCCTCTATTAGATGAATGAAATGTAATAAAATTTTAAATAAAGTAAGCATTCAGAATGATATGAATGCATGTAAATTGAAGTTATGCCAAATTCATTTTCCTATTTGTAGTCCATGTGAAAGCTAAATTTATTCAAATGTTGTTTCAGTGAACAAACAAGCTTTTTTTGAGGTCACTACTGTGCTGTTTATATTTCCTAAAATCAAGAGAAAAAGTAACTGAAACTGATTCAGATTGAGCTCTGATCTTTGTTGAGAAGAACTGAAAAATCATTCATTTGAAGGATTTTTCAGTGAACAAATAACTTTTTCAGGTAAATTATTTGATTTCTTAATCATGTGCTGGCGAAGTGTTTACTGAAGAGTACTGCGTGCACAAAAATGATAATTTTTCAAATTTTTGATCATCCCTCCAGAGATATATAAAAGTTATTCGCGAAAACTGGATTTAATGTTTTCAATGTAACTGCTGTTGTCCGTTGTGCAGCTGACGTTTCCTAAAATCAAGAGAAAAAGAAAGTGAAACCCATTCATAACTGGCTCTGTCCTTCGGACATTTTCCAGGGGCTGACAAGTTATTCGGTCGCACACGCACCAGGCGAGGACTTGCCCAAGTCCGGCCTGGGCCAGTGTTGTTCGGTCGCTCGGCGAGCGCGGTTCCCGCGCGACTGATGGCGTCATCTGTGGAAAGCCAGGCGAAACTGCGTGAATCAGCGCGATAACAGTGAATGACTGTGGGACTTCTGCATTGTGAAGTGACGTAGAACAATACCCGGTATGCAAGATCGCTTCGAAGAAGTTTCACTGCATTTCGGAGACCCAGGTTTTCGTGTACTGCTTGGCTGACTCAGGTGAGTTCCGTTTTGCTCTCTAGATGCATTTTGAATTCGGTTCCGAATGTTATTGCGGCAATCGTCCGAACGTGAGGATGGTTTCTCCAGCAGAAATATTTCCGAATCATCGATATTGGAAGCACTATTGAAGTAGTTTCGAAATAGGTACGGTACAGTAAAATGCGCCCGAGTTCGAGCTTCGAAACTGATCGGAAATCATTTTCCAATATCACTTCGCTATACGCGGGAACTTCTCATCTTGAAATCTTCTTTATAGATCTCTTCTATTTTAGAAGTCCGAAATCCATTGAAAATATCTTGAAGTTGTCACTGACACTTGTTTCGTATTGACTTTTATGATTTTTCTCCAGTTCCTGGGGTGGAACAATACAATGTGAAGTTCAAATAAGGGAAATTTGTCATTCGGAAGCGTTCAATAAAACTTTTATTTGACTCATCTGATCCGCGTAAATGATATTTACCTCCTTATTGTAACATCAGAAATCGTTCCGGATTTGTCCATCACATAGCGTTCCATTCACTCGAATATTATTAGAAAGTCAAACGAACTCAATAAAATCAGTGGACTGCGTCAAAGGAAAATAATAAAGACGCTCTAGAAAATATTGTAAATGTATGAATTGCTCTGCAAGACTCAAAACATTGCCAGAATCCTGTACAGCAAAATCTTGTTACAACAAATACCACAACAAAGTTTTCAGTATAACAAACCTTTTTTTAAGTCCCGGCAGAAATCCTATACTAGGGTACATCTTAAAAAATAGGGTACAATCAGATGGGGAAAAAATGAGCCATGCGCAACTCTCATGTTAAAAAGGGTTTGTATGCTTGAGAAATGCAAGTGATTTAAAAATTGTTGGCAATTTTGACACATTCACCCTTACAAATCTTAGCAGGAATTGCTGTAGAAAACTTGGGAGTCAAGAAAGTGTGCTAATATTTACCTGTTATTCAGAGTATCTATTTTTCATTATTAACAATTACATTTCTTTTTGAAGATCACAGTTTTTTAACCATTGAAAAACATCTGAAAAGTCCACAAAAGAAAGATTTTGAATATATGCAGGTTTAATTTGAAGAAAATCTTCCGATCAGTCAATAATTTTCAAAATCTCATTACAGTAGAACAAATTATTCATTACAACAAACTTTTTCTGAAGTCCCCACCAGTTTGTTGTAACAAGATTTCACTGTATAATTGTATATCATAGTAGAATTACACTCTGGAAGGAAGAACGTTATCTTTTTCAAGACCAGAAAAGAATTCGTTGCATTTAGAGTACAGTAAAGTACTGTACTTGCATATCAAAAGCTTAAAAAAGAAAAGGTCGCCCACAGTAACCGTAATGCGTGAAAGAATTCGGCCAATTGGAAAACCGTAAAGTCAACATTCCTGGAGGACAAATTTAACGAGGCGTCATAACTGTGTAAATACTGCATTTTGTCTGGCATATTTCCTCCAAAAATAATATTCCAAAATATGTACAATATTATACTGTGTAATATTAAAAAACAGGGTTTTTGAGAACCACAAAATAAAATTTTGAATGTACCAAGTTTGATTACACAGGAAACAATTTAAAAACCAAACATTTCTTCGTTGACAATCGCATCCGTCTTAAAATTCCGTTTTAAAATACAGATACAAAATTTTAATTTGTTGTTCTGGCAAATGCACTGATGCTCTAAAATGTTTATATAGGAACAATGCCAAGATTCATAAAAACAAATTGATTATTTGAAGGACTTTCTGAGGGATAAATTCTAAATCAGTATTCTTATTGTTCATATGAACAGCGTAAAGGCATCACTTGAAATGAAATCGGATATTATTTGAATAAAAACTTCTGAAGGAGGACTTTTTAGTAGGGTAACTTCGCTGCGTTTTGTTTGAGACATTTTCTTCATGGAATTTTTATATATATTTTGTTTGTCAATGTTTTGATGGGTCCAGAAGCAAATTTGATACGAAATAAGCCATAGTTAATCTTTGAAGGAAGAAATTCAAATTTTTTATATAGTAGTACCGTAAATCTTGGGATGTAAGACAATTTTAGGAAGGAAGTACAATATTTCATTCAAGACAAAAACATTGTGAGACAGAGACTACCTGTCTCTGACTACCTGACATAGCGTATTTACTGGAGTACCACGTGTTAAAAAAGGTAAGTTGGAATTGAAGTTTCCAAAATAAAACATGGTACAGTAATTTGGTTGGGCTGCAACTAAGGTGATTGAACACCCTATCATAAGGTTGTTCTTATTTTCGCAGAGTTGAGCACATTTGTGAATTCAAAAGTTTTGTATCACACTGTTCAAGCACTTGCAAGTTCTTGTCAGTATGGCATCTCAGTACAAAGTCAAAACAAGAAGAGGAAAGAGTTTCAGGAAAATTATTCTTCAAGTACTGTATATGGAATATTCCAGTTGAGATTGAATTTCCATTTCAACTGTTTTGGGTTTTAAAATGTAAGGATTCTATTATCATTGGTTGTACAGTTGGTACCTCACAATTTGACCCAGATCTGTTGCCAAACTGGGGTCAAATTGCAAAGCAGTGGAATTGGGAGACACTTTGTTAAATTTACAAAATATGAGTACAAAACTGCAAAAATATTGGCCAAAGAAGGGGAAATTGTTGGGCAAAGGTCAAATTGCAAGTCGACCTCCCTGCAAATTTTTCTGTCAAATTGCAGAATGGTCAAATTTTGGCAGGTCAAATTGCAAGGTACCACCTGTATACAGTTTTCCTATTCTTGAGAGAGTTGGGATGAAATCCAATTTGCTGAAACTCATCTTCAATAGGCAATGGAACAAATTTAATACTGACACTCTCTTGGAGAGCTGAAATTTAGGAAGACAAGCAAAGCTTGATACATTAACTTCTTTTTGAAGGCAGATACTATATTTTACAATTACCACTGGCTAAATGGGTTCTTTGACTAAATTTTCGAAAAATTTGCTCACCGAAATATTTCAGTTTTTAATATTGGATAAAACTGTTTCCCCAAGTATAAGATGCACACCTCATTTTTAGGGACTTTAGAACTGCAATATTTAAAAAATTAGATAACCTAAATTTGATATAGACATGAACAAAACCTGAGTTCTACCAATTTTATTTTTTTTCATAAAAATAACGTTTTCTGCTAAACTTGGTCCAACATTTTCCAATTAAATCAAGCATAATACATACTTAAGCTTTGAAAATGTTTTGAAAAAAATTTTGTATGTCGCTCACCACGCCTTTTTCTGCTTGAATTTTCGAAGTGAAAAGGTGCATGCAATGCTTGAATGAGTTTAGTGCTTTGTTACAGTCGTCCGAGTTCTACCGTATTTTTTCAAGACACCGACGCAATTTGAAAATAAATCAAAATTGAAAGGAAACGGTGGGAGGGTGGTGCAAAGTATTTATCAAAATTTCCGCCTTATTTCCGGGTCTTTGACAATTTATTGTAACGAGATATCATCAATGGCATCAGTCTCATATATTTTTTTTTAATATTTAATTGTGAATTTCTCTGCCAATAAGGTGACAATATTTCCGGTCTCAAACGAAGCAACGCGCCAGGAAATTCCCCTTTGAATAATCGCTCCTGTGTTTTGGGGTTTTCCTGGGTTCCATTTCCAGGTTCAGCCAACCAGTGCCGCCGCAGTCATGATGGAGATGGAAAAGGAGCGGCGGAGCAGGGAGCGGCCTCTGAGATCCAGCTCCGCCGCCATGGGCGCCACGCAGCAGCAGCAGCGCGAAAGGCCGACCCGGACCGTGGTGGCGCCGGTGGCGGCGCGAGAGTCGCGGCAAAAGGAAGTGGTGGCGGTGATTGCGCGCGAGGTGCGCCAAAAGGAAGTGCAAGTGTTGCGGAAGAAAAACCAGGAGCTCACCGACATCACGCGGAAGCTGGAGGAAAAGGTCAAGAGCTTGGAGCAGGTATGTATACGGACTAATTTATATTTTTTATTCATTTATTTATTTATTTATTTTTTAAAGTGGTTGTTTTGTAACGAACCCGAGAAGTTCGGAGTATATATCGTGACGATGGAAATTCGGTAGAGTATTTTCATGCTACTAATCTCAATATGTTGTAACTTGACTTGCTGTTTTATTGCTCACGACAAAATCGTCATTTAGATCCTTGCCAAATAGTCAAAATGTTTTTTTAAAATTATTTATAGAAGTGTTCTTTTTATAAAAAAGCTTTTCTTCAGGACATGATGGCTTTGTTGCAATAAGATTTCACTGTATGGCAGTTTTCTGTCATTTAGGAATACTTGTTACAACAAATACCACTACAACACATTTTTCAGTATAACAAACTTTTTTCAAGTCCTAGCAGAAATCCTTTAGGGTACCAATAGGGCAAATCTGTTTTTTTTAAATCTACAATTACATTTATTTTTGAAGATCAGTTTTTTAACCATTGGAAAACATCTGAAAAGGCCACAAAATGAAGATGTTGAATATGTGCAGGTCTGATTTGAAGAAACTCTTCCCATCAGTCAATAATTTTCAAAATCTCATTATAACAAATTATTCACAACAACAAACTTTTTCTGAAGTTTCCACAAGTTTGTTATAACAAGATTTTACTTATATTCACTCTTATCTTTTTACTTGTGAGGAGAACTTGGGAACTTGGTTCCTTTTGAAAGAATAAAGAATTTGTCTCTTCTTAAAAAAAAATACAAAATAGATTGAAACTAATGATTGAATTTGGAATTTGGCCACTTGTAAGGTGGTGGATGAAAACAAATTACAGCTTGTAGTATAGTATTAATGTACAGTACTGTATATGTATTGTACAGTATATATTTATGTAATTTATATAGGTGGACTCTCTCTACAACAATCTTGTCTTCAGCGATTTTCTCTGTATAAAAATTTTTTTGGGTCCAATGGGGGAGAAAAATTTAGAGAACCCCATGTTATAGGGGCTCTCTACAACAAATTTTATATGTTCCCTTGAATTTTGTTGCCTAGAAAGTCCAAATGCATAAAAAATGTTAGTCATACTTGAAAAAATTTTGAAAAAGTACTCTGGAAAATAGTAAATACTTGTATTAGCTTCAAAAAACAGGAAAAAACTTGATATGCAGAAAAAAGGAGGAAAATCAGATACTTTTGCTATTAAAGGAGCACAAGTGGCAAAAAATAAACCCTCAGTCAAAATAAGTTCTGTACAGTACTGTTGAATTTGATTTAAAAAACTAAATGGAGAAACACCAGGCTTGATGCAGTATTTTTGGATTTAAATTCGATTGAGTTTTATCCATACTATTTATTCTTTTCTTGCATCATTTTCAAGGTGCAAGGGCCGATTTTTTGTGCGTTTGCATTGTCAAATAATTGAAAAGAAAATGA